CTGTTCCAGGCTGTGGGGACGACGTGCCCCTGCACCCCAGGTTTGAGAAGAACACCACGTGCTGGGGTGCCGCCGAGCAGAGCCACATGCTGGGGGCCGCGATGAACGGCCACGCGGGCGGGTGCTAGGCTGTGCGGGACGTGAAGGTCGGCACAAGGACGCGGGCCCGTGGAACGAGGTTTTGTGGAGCCGGGGCAGGGGGTGTGTGCATGAGCAGGTCTGCCCTTCAGGAAGATTAGCCGGACGGCCCTGCGGAGGGTGGAGGGGAGCTGGGAAGGACACAGAGCTGGAGTTCGTGCACAAGTCCAGAACCTCGAGGCCCCGACCTAGGCACCGGCTGCCGTGGGAGAGCGGAGGGTGTGAACACAGAGAGTGCTGTGAGGCTGCCACAGCCTCTGGGCTTCCCCCTCGGCCTTCCCGCTGCAACTGGGACTCCCCAGCCCCTTGCGTGGGCCGGGCCAAGGCCTGCCTCCCCGGCCGGCTGCAGGCTCCCCCAGCAGACGCCGACACTTCCCGGTGCTCTGCCGCAGCATCCGCGCCCAGAGCAATGCCTGGCAGAGCGCCGGTGCTCGAAAACATATCTGTAGCGTGAGTGAGTGCGCGAGTGAACACATGAAGAATTCCCTGGGTCTGGAGTTTTCAGTTGAGGCAAGTGGAACCAGGCACGCTGGAGGAAAAGGGAGTCCGGTGGGGGAGGCAAGGAGGAGACTGCTCCTTGGACAGGAGGAAGTGGGACTGTCCATGGCACAGTACACAGCAGAGAGGGGAGTGTGCAGGTTTGGGGAGAGAGTGGGGGAAGGCAGGAGGGTGAGAGAGGGGGGTGAGGGGGAGGGACCAATCTATGGCATAAACAAATAAGAGGAGGTGAGACTCCCAAGCGAGGAAGGGGGTGAGGACGGGGCAGTAGGAAGAGGAGGGGGAGAGGCTGCCTAATGAAAGAGCTGCATTTAAAAGCATTGATCTTCACCCTGTGTGCCGCAGCAGGCGGGCGCCCTGGCGCGCCGCAGGAATTTTAAAACGTGCAGTGTCCGCCTATTCAGTCAGGGGCACTGACCTCTTTTCCCTTAGGCTGTCAAGGTTAAAATAGGGCAACAGGCAACACCACAACAGCTGCGAATGAACCAAAATCATACTTACTTTTTGGTCGGATTGGCAAGAAATGTATTTTTTTTGGTATGCCACAGAATTTTAGCCGTGAGTTTTTGTGTGCCGTGAGAATAAAAAGGCTGAAATCGCTGTTTTAAGGGAAAGGAGCCAGCAGGGGTGAAAGAGAGGACCTGTCTGATAAGCCCACAGAAGTGCTGTGTCATGGAATTCAGAGGGCTCAGGAAGGCCGACAAAGGGGGGGCGCGGGGGTCCGACGGGGGATGGAGGAGGTGGGGGGGAGGGCTGCGCGAACACTCCTAGCGCCGCCGACATTCAGAGCCTCGGGCAGTCTGACCAGGGCCGGGCTGCAGAGCCACAGGGCCGGGCTGCGTGCAAGGTGAAGAGGCAGAGACACCAGGTGACGAGCCCTTCACCAGGGAGGTGGAGGACAGAGGTGAAGGGAAAGGTAGGGTCTGGGCGAGAACAAGACCCGTGCAGGGGAGGTAAGAGGCGTGGGGAAGAGGGCGTGATGGACGGACGAGGAGGAGGAGGTGTGAAGGGACGAAATCTGGAGTGAGGGTGGTGGGGCGGGGTGGGGCGGGGGCGGCTTCCGCGGGAAGGCGGGGTCCTCCGCCTGGGGAGCCAGGAGGAGGGGGGGTCCTGGGAGTTCACACAAGCGGGCACTAATCGTTTGGATGATGATAACAGCCACCGCTGACGGAGCCCCCATCACGTACCAGACACATTCCGTAGACTATTTCTAGCATTTCAAAGTGGTATTATAACCCTCACTTTATAAAGAAGACCCAGACCCAGAGAGGTTAAGCCAGTTACTCATTATCACACAGCTAAAAAGCCGCAGGTTGAGGATCCAAGTCAGGGATGCCTGACCCCAGAGCCCCCCGGCCCTGCAGCACAGGAAGGGGGAGGAAAGCCACCTGCTGAGCAGGACGGTGTCGGAGTGCCCTGGGCCTTGACGGATCGGCTAGGGAAGTCTTGGCAGGGTGCACAAGACCTTGCTTAAGAGCTGAGAGGGTCATGCTGGGACCAGGCAACAGGACTCTGGGGAAGACTGGGCTGGCTAAGCCGTCCCGGCGGGCCCCGAGCAGGAGGCTCTAGAGCGACGTGGACACAGGCACGGAGAAGACTCGGCCCCTGAGCAAACACGCTGCGTACTGGGGCACCAGGTGGTACCGGCGCTTGCTGAGCGAAGGAACGGAAGCAGAGGAGTCAGGGGAGGGACACGGTGTGGCGACAGAGAGACGGCATGTTGAGTCCCAGCAGTGCCACAGGTGGAGGGGTGCAAGAGAAAGGCATGTGTATTCCCTGACCTTTTCACTGCCTGTTGCCCTGCACACGCACACACACCCTCACACCACGTGCGCACCCGGAAATGTCAGCTGCACGAGGACAGGACTGTCTCGTTCCCTGCACGTCCCCAGGGCCGGACACACGGCAGGGCACCCACCAGGTGCTCGGTTAATACTTGTTGGGTGGACGAACCCAGGAGTCTGGAGCCCAGATAAAACCTCCGGGGGTCTTCAGTATCGGCGGTCGCTGAAGCCCCTGGCAAGGACGGGTTTTCCCCAGGGAAGGGTGCGGGGGAAGAGGCTGAGGGCAGGGTCCTGACAGCATCCTCACTGAAGATACAAGAGAGAAAAGACGAGCCAGCCAAGGAGAGCGGTAAAGGAGAGAGGGCAGAAGGGGCGGGGAGGGGGGAAGTAGAGGGGAGAGAGCGGTGGGACTCGGGGGAAGGACTGAGACACGGAGACACGGAGCCGAGAGAGGAGATGGGGTGTAAGGGGACAGTGGGGCGGCCCGCAGTTCAAACGCTTCAGAACTGCTCCGACGGGAAGTGCGTGGAGGAAAGGGCTCGGAAGGATCCTCTGGTCCAGGAGAGACTCGCCAGAGACACAATTCAGGGATGAGGCTAGAAATAACGCCCAGGTGCCCTGTCAGCCAATTTGAAACAGCTCGAATTAGAGACCTGCATCTCTTACCGCCACCTGGCAGTTCCTTGAGCTGGCGCGTAAACACAGGAGGAGGAACCCAATAGTTCCTGAAATCACTCAGTGTTTAAATTGGGTTTGTTTCCCCTGTTCTTAGAAATGCAGTCTTTTTACACTGTATTGAATCACATGAAAACCCACTGGATGACTGGGCCGAGCTGCCTCCGCACTGGGAATTCCGGGTCGGCGCGGAGTCTCTGGCTAGTGCCAGGGAGCTCCTGCCGCACGCCAGGTGCCTGACCAGTGCCCCGTCTCCTCCCGCAGACATCAGTAGGAGGACGGGCGGCCTTAACACATCCCCGTTGTGTAGGGAACCAGCTGAGGCTTTCCCCAGGGCCCAGTGAGAACTGGAGCCAGGTTTCAAATCAGGTGCGTCTGGTGCCCAAGCCCAAGGGGTTGTTTTTCCCACCCCATCATGACTTTCTCTCCTCAAAACCACCTGTCAGGTGGTCTGTCTGACCACGGAGAAATCCTCAAATAAAGCCTCGGGCCCCGTGTTAGGGAACGATCTCAATCTGACAATATGTTTTCTCATGTTGAAGGAAATGAGGAAAATCCATCATCGAGTGACAGCCAGTGACCTTGAACTCGACCTGGTTATAATATCCGGCCTGACTTCTCTGTCACCATTTCCCAGGACCCCTTTTTCCTCCTAGCAAAAGACAGACGCCCAGCACTCACACGGCGCGGGTGGCGCGGTGGTTAGCACAGCCGCCTTCCAACACCGTGCTGGACGACAGGCCCTGGGGCGCCGTGCTGGCCTCAGCGCACCGTCAAGCCACAGTGTGCTTCGGACAGCCCACGGGTGTCCCATCCACACCCAAAGGGCATTTCTGGTGGCTCTGCCTATGGCAGGACCAGTGGGACTCAACGATTAAAATGAAAAGGGAACATCCAGGAATCCGAGCACTGGGGCCCGAGTCCTTAGGGATGTGGGGGGAGGCAGGACAAGAAGGCCCAGGGTGGAGCGGGTTCCAGGTCTCTCCTCCTCCCGCCCCCCCCCCGCCGCCATTGAATAGTTCCACTTTTTCCATATTTTGCAAATTGAGATTCCCATTCAGCTTTTATTTGAAGGAAATCTTCTGAGGCAAAATAATAACAATAAAGACATAATAAAGGCTGCAAGCTGGTGGTTTAGGCAGGGGGGAGGAGGGCTGAACTAAGCGGAGCGCTCGCAAGGCCCCGCGCCTGGAGCCGTAAAGGCCCCAGGCCCCGAGGAGACCCTCACGTCCCGAGCCCCCGTGTGCAATGTAAAATAAACATCCATATGAAGCTATCAACACAAAACTAACATGTACGCTGCAATAAAAATAATTTATTTCTCCATTTGTCTACCGTTGGAACCGTGGACGCGTTCATCCAAACCAGCTGTTCTCGCTGCTGCACCCGCGCCCGTTCCTGGGGTCCCGAGCGCCCACGCTCAGTCCAGGCAGGGGCCGACCCCGCGGCCCCGGAGGGAATTCCCTCCGGTCTCCGCAGTGACTCTGGGCAAGGAAGCACGCCCCTTCTGCCTCCCAGAGGGAGGGACGGGCTGCAGGAGGCCCAGGAACGTGCCCGGAGCGCACGTGGCAGACGAGGAGTGCGGGCGGCAGGAGAACGCCGCTCCGCCGCATCCAAGTGAGATGCGCTTTCCGAGACCCCTGCCTCCGACCAAATGCGAGCGGTACGGTCAGGACGGTTTTAAAATAGGGGTCTGAGCCATCTGGCCACATACCGTACGTGTGCCTGGCACACAGCAAGTGCTCAAGGAATAACCCCTTCCCTGGCGGTACCAGGGCGCCGCGCCTGGGCCTCAGACGGACGCAGTCCCGCGCCTGAACCGGGGTGAGGCCGCCGTCGGCCTGACTCCAGCACCCCGCCTGTGCAGAGGTCTCCCTCGTCTGACCCCCGACTCCTCTTTTGCAGGTGGGCACATCTCCCCGGCCAGGCCTGCCAGGAGCACTGCATGCGGAGTCGGCTGCGGGCTAGGGCACGCTAACCAGAGTCGCAGACATGGACTTCGTCATGAAACAGGCCCTCGGAGGTGAGGCCCCAGCCCTGCACCCTCGCCCTCCTCCAGCGTCTGGACCTGGGTGGGAGAGGGCCTCGGCACACCAGGCCCCACTGTCCCCAGCCCTGGGCCGTCTGACCCCACCCTCTCTCCCCCAACCCCTCCCCTGCAGGGGCCACCAAGGACATGGGGAAAATGCTGGGGGGCGAGGAGGAGAAGGACCCAGACGCGCAGAAGAAGGAGGAGGAGCGGCAGGAGGCACTGCGGCAGCAGGAGGAGGAGCGCAAGGCCAAGCACGCGCGCATGGAGGCCGAGCGCGAGAAGGTCCGGCAGCAGATCCGGGACAAGGTCAGACCACCCTCCCGCCCACCTGGAGTGCAGGGACACAGGGCCAGTGGGTCCCCAGACCCGGGCCTCGGGCTCCCCTGAACCCCAGCTCTGACCTTAGACCTAGCTCTCTCTGAGCCCCCCTCTTCTGGGTGCCACAGGAACGCCCCCTCGGGGATCAGCGGGGACCCCCTGAAACAAAGCACACAGAGGTGCTCCCTAACGCTTGCTGCTGCTGGCCTGTGGTCTCCCACCCAGAACCCTGGGGACCAAATAAGTTCAGAATCCAGAATTTGGGGATTTCGGAAAAGGACCAGGGTGCCCTGAGCACCGGCTACTCTTAGGTGGCACTCTCAGCGGGTTTGCGGCTGCCACCCTGTACCAAACAGGTCAATCAATACGCATGTGGCATTGGCACTGCAATAAATCAAGGCTGTAAGGAGCCTTCCATCAGCCAAAGGCAAGTTTCGTCACCAGAATTCAGGTCCAAACACATGGAAGAACTTTCAGATTTCAGATCTTAGGGGATATCAAAAGGGCAGAGAACTTGTTACGAGCAGGTATCGACTTTAAAGGAAACCCCAGGCACTGCCTCGGTGTTGCTGGGGACAGTCACAGTTCTTCAAGAAGATGTCCTCGTCCCCATCCTATAGGTGAGAGGGCTGAGGCTGAGGGGGCCCTCCTGAGCTGCCCCAGATGAGTCTGCATGACCAGCCCTCTCCTTGCCCCGTTCATGCTCATGTCCCACCCCCGCCCAATCCCCCGCCCCCCCCAGTACGGGCTGAAGAAGAAGGAAGAGAAGGAGGCCGAGGAGAAGGCAGCCCTGGAGCAGCCCTGCGAGGGCAGCCTGACGCGGCCCAAGAAGGCCATCCCGGCAGGCTGCGGCGAGGAGGAGGAGGAGGAAGAGGAGAGCATCCTGGACACGGTGCTCAAATACCTGCCCGGGCCGCTGCAGGACATGTTCAAGAAGTAACCAGACCTCCCGCCCGTCCCCACGCCACTCGTTCCTTTATTTTTTTTTTTTAGTTCTTTCTCTCTCTCTCTCTCTCTTTTTTATTCAGTTAAGTCTCAGTTCTGATGGGAAAACCTCAGTTGGCCCCTGTCCCCTGTCCCTGGCCGGGGGCTCGTCCTCTCAGCACGCCCTCACACTCCCTCCATCCCGGAGTACCCAGCCCCCACCTCGCACCCGAGTTGCTTGCGAAAAGAGAAGACAGCTTCTCCCCCCAGCAGGGGGCACTGTATCCAGCGCAGCAGGCCCTGGGGGCCCTCCAGGAGCCTGAGGTCTGTGCTAGTGTGGCAACCCCCATACATTCCTTCACGCGCCCCACTGCCAGGAGGACCACTGTCCCCAGCCAGCCAAAGTAATGATACATTCCAGCCCTGCCCAGCATGCTGACCTTTGGCCTCTGATCCCCAGGGGTCCTCCGGGTCAGGGCAGGGGCGCTGGGTGGCCTGGCTCTGAGGAAGGGAGTCAGGACCCTGCGAGGGCCCAGCCTGAGAGACCCCTCCTGTTCTGGGAAGGAGGCCGAGGCCCTTCTCCTTCCTCCCCGGTGACACAGCCCAGGAGCACCCTCCAGCCCCCACCAGACAGGGGTAGCCCCTGCCAAGCCAGTCCCTCCAAATGGATCCTCTTTGGACTTTAACTCATCTCTGGAGGGGCCTGAAGTAGGGCTGCTCCTTGTTCCCCGCACCGCCCACTTAGGTCCTGGGGCCCCACTGCCAGTCTGGGCCCAGCCTGCCCAGCCAAGGGGCTGTCCAGGCCCCCAGAAAACACTTGGAGCCATTGGGCAGCAATGGCCCATGCCATGGGACCCCCCCATTGGTGCAGCCACGCTGCCCCCATTCCTATCCACCCCCCTTCCTCACCTTGTCCTGTCCATGTGCTTCCAGGACCCCATGGTCCCCTGGAGGACCCTTCCTGGCTAAAGCCCCAAGCCTTTGGGGGGAAGCCAGTCCCCACTTGACAGAAAGCATCTGTCCATTCATGTCATCGGCCAAGAACAAACTCTCCTCTGGGATGTGTGAGGCTGGTGATTGTCTCTCCTACCCCGAATCACCACGGCCTCTTGCTCGCTTACTTGAGTAAGACCCGGATGGCCATGGAGCCATGAGGGGGAAGTGTGTGTCCATGTGGGCGTGGGTATGTATGGCAGAGGCTGCATCACAGTTATGTGTCCAGAGACTGTACATATAGGTGTACATACTCTAGCCATGTTAGAGTATGCATGTGTCTTGAGATTGTGTTTGTGTGTTAGTCATCATCCCTGTGTTAGAGACTGTGTTTGCTGGGCAGCCTGTGTGTGTGTGTGTGTGTGTGTGTTGGAGGTGGTGTGTATGAGTTGAGATTGTGCCACATGTGTGTGCTAGCCATCTCATACATGTGGGAGAGCTTGCATGTGTTCGCTTGTATTTGCATGGGTTTTCAAAATGGCATGTGTGTCAGGGGTGATGGGTCTGTGTTAGAGGTTGTGGAAAGGTGTGCCTGAGAGTTGTCAGACGCGCCAAGACTGCTGTGTGTATTTATGCGGCTCTGAAAAGGCAGCGGTGTGCACAGCGTGGTCTTGGGGAGCAGGAATATGGGTAAGAGGCCCCTCTCGGCCCCAAAACCGCTGGTCACAAGCAGCCACATCCAACAGGAGACCTTGTCCTTGGCCTAGAATCCTCCCGCCCTTGGAGGGCTCCTGTCTGAGGGCTCAGCAGTCCGCTGGGACCAACTCAGGCAGAGCCCCAAGAAGCCATGCTGGGCCCCAGCCAGGGCCTACCCCCAAAGCAGGGGCCAGGGAAGGGGCGACTTGCCTGCCCCTGATGCCCTGCCCCATTGGCCCCAGTTTGCATTCTGCAGGTTTTCCATTTTAGTGGACTTACGCTTTTATTTCAGAGAGAGACATGTGTCTTCTCTGTCCGTTTCCAATAGTTAAAGCCATATCAGTTAGACTGCAATACTTTAAAGACGAGACAAAACAATCCATATGTTTAGGGAACCAGAAAAGTCCCCTGGTCTGTCCCTTCTCTGGGGAGCAGGGCCTCAAGAGCCCCACTGCCTGGACTTGCCCTTCTCCCCCACCCCCGCCCCTTCCCCTGTGCCCCGGTGTCCTGCCCCCCACGGGGCCTATGTCTGTGTCTGTGCCTGCGTCTGTGATGGGGAGCCACCTTGCACCCCTGTTGTCTGCTTGTCTGTTCATGTCTGTTATCCTGGGCAGAATGGTCATCCTCCAGAGCCTTGGGGTCCCGGAGCAGAGACAGGCAGGGCCCGGTCCAGGAGCCCCAGGCCTACCCAGACCCTGTGTGTGAGCCCCACCGGACACGGTGGATCCCCGGTGTTAGGAAGGCCTCCCCCTCGACAGGGGCCCAAAGGCTCTGAAGGTGGGGCCGAGGCACAGAGCAGCTGGATGAACAGCAGAGACTGAGGCCTCGGCAGCTTCAGATACGCGGGGGCACCCAGCCATACTAGACATCCCAGGCGGGTCTGAGGGCCCCTGACCCTCAGAGGGCGTCCCTGGTGCTCTCCGAAAGCCCCCTGTGTCCTCGGGGCTGTTTCCCCCCGCAGGAAAGCGCCCTCCAGGATGGCTGGCGTAGTCTGGCGTACTCCCCAGACTCTCCAGACTCCACAGCCTGCTCCAAGCAGCAGGGCTGGAGGGCTTCCTGGAGGCAGGAGCAGGGGGCGGATTTCAGCCTGGGGCACACCTGGCTCTAACCACTGCCAGGTGATCACTCTCAGGTGCAGGGGAACGTGAGGACTGTCACTCCTGACCCAGACCTGCCTCTGGAGAGCGGCCGATGTGCAGCGCGCTCACGGGGTTGGGGGGGGCGGGGGACAACACGTGGGGGTCGGACTCCACAGGGCAGGGATAGTCACGTGACGTGCCGGGGGCAGGGGGTGTGTGTGGCCTGCTAGATGGGAGGGGGATGAGTTTGTCACATATGAATGGGACAGTGTGCATGTGACACGCTAGGGAGGCAGGGCACGGAGGGAGAGGCCCCTGAATCGGCACACACCCGACATACATGGGAGGCATCCCCCGGCCAGGGAAATAGGAGGAGCAGTCCTTGTCAACGGTGAGAACAGGGTGAAATGCAAGGGCGCGCGCTGCCCACGGTGGGTACGTGTCTTGCCAAGGAAGGCCACTGCCGTGCTGTGCGCCTGGAAGGCCACTACCCGAGGGAAGGGACCGGGCCCCTCTGGACCAGCCACACTGGGCACTTGAGACAGGCGAGGACGCCTCCACGAGGAGCTCCTGCTGGGGGGTCCTTACCAGCAGAGCTCCGTGTGGTCTCCTCCGAAAGCAAGCAGGAAGTCAAGAGACCCTCCCAGGGGTGTGTGTGTGTGTGTGTAGACAGAAAGGAAAGGAAGAAGAGAGGAAGGAAGGAAGGAAGGGAGAGAGGGAGGGAGGAAAGGGAGAGAGAAAGAGGAAGGAAAAGGGGAGAGAGAGGCAGAGAACAGACGTATTTCAGCCCAGGGCCAGCATGTGGCAGAGACGCCGCCCCGAAGGCCGGTGGCTAGAGTGTGAGGAGACGGGCCACCAGTCTGAGAGCCCCCAGCACCCAGCTGGCAGGGCTGCTGACCCCCACCACCCAACTGCTCCACCCTTCTAGGGCCCCGCGGGCCCTTGACTGCACAGGGGGTCTGGGCCCAGCTGGCTCAGATGAGGGGACATCTCCCAGGCCTGAGGACAAGCCTCCCGCCGCGTGTCCCCTGCTCCCCTCTCTGTAACCCTTCGTGGGGCAGAGACGGGAGGTGCTCGTGCTGGCCCTGGGGTGCGGGTGGGGGTCCCGGAGAGACCCGGGCGAGGATGACCATCCTGCTCACGCGGGGGTATCCTTTCTCCACATCTGTGCCGTGTCCTTGTTGCTCTGCTTCCTTTAAACGTGTCAGTGCCTGGGGGAGGGGAGGGGCACCCCTCATGCCCCCCTGAACCTGACCAAAAGCCATGGCTGTCGCTCCCCCTTTGTATGACGCAGACGCTAACATGTACCAACCCAACCGTGACAACAAAGACCTTGTGCAGCAGCCCTCGCTCTGTCTGTCCTCTTCTGTCCGTCCGAACCGCCCGCCGGGGCCGCTCGGGTGCCCGCCGCCGTGAGGGGGCCGCAGCACACCCCAGTGCAACCCTTGCTCCTGGCCGCGCCACTGCGGAAATGACCCCAGAAGTCAACCAGGACCGCGGGCAGGGCTGGCCCCCCAGATTCGGGGCCGCGCACCTCCCGCCCTTCAAAGCCACTGCGCAGCCTCGGGAGCTGGTGGCCCGGCCTAGTCACAACACTGCACGCCCCACCTCTGGCCACCCCAGGCTCCTTGGGTGTGCCGTCTGGCCCAGAGCCAAGTCACACGGGGGGGGGGGGGGCAAGGTCTGTCACTGGTCATCCCACCGGCGTTGAGGGAGTCCCCGCTCCGCCAGCAGCAGGAGCGGGGACACAGAAAGCACACCGCTCAACGCTGTTCCTGGACACACACTCCCAGGCCTTGCTGTGGACTCAGGGCCGGGCCAGACCCCTCCCCGCCCTCGGCCGCCCTCCACCGCCACCCTGCCTTAGGCAAGGCCTTACCTTCTCTGCGCCTGGCTGGGCGCCTCCCAACCCCCCACACTGGTCTCCCAGCTCTTCCCGTGGCCCCAGGTGAGGACACCGAGCAGCAGGTCCCCTGGACCCTGAGTCGGGGGAGCTCCGTGTGCCAGGGGAGGAGTCACCCTGAGGAGAAGGCAGGCACCCCATCCCGGGCAGAGAGGCGCTGGCGTGAACCAGGGCCCACAGGAGGCAAAAGTGGCCTGGCACGAGTGAGGAAGGGGGGACCACCGCGGGGGACTCCGTGAGTGGTGGTGAAGAGCCGAGAGCCCGGGATGTCAGCCGGGTGCCGGCAGATGGGGCGCGACCTCCCCTGCGGGCACTGGGGGGCCAGTGAAGGAGCTGGGGCAGACGTGGGACGCGGTCAGAGGTGCGAACTGGACGTGAGCTGCTTGCCCAGGGGTAAGCGGGTGCGAGGTCAGGGCTGGAGACGGCGAGGCCTCGCCTCGGGCAGCGGCAGCGGGACGGGGAGAAGGAGGCGGACTCGAGGGGCACGGGAGGGCGCACTGGCAGGGCCTGAGGACTGGGTGCGGGGGACAGTAACGGGGGGTCAAGGCCAAAGCCTGTGTGTCCGCCTTGGTGGCCCCATTCTCCGAGATCTGGAACAACGGGGGGAGGCAGCTCTGGAGGAAAACAACAAGCTGGGTGTGGGGCCCCTGGGGGGAGAGCAGCGGGCAGTCTGCTCTTGCACCGGGGTGGGGGGGGGACGACAGGAGAAGCACAAACCGCACTTTGTCTGGCCAACGGCCTCCCGCCCCCAAGAAGCAGACAGGGATCGAAGCACAGGAAATCGAGAAGCCTGGGATGGGGAAGGGGTTCCAAGGCAAACCCATCGTCCCGTGCAACCCAGGACCCCTCCTGCGCCATCTCTGGTAGACACACTCCCCGCCTGCAGTCCCCACAGTGTGGGTGGGTGGGGGGGCTCTCTGGAGTCCGACAGGCCCTTGCTCTCTCCCACACCGAAAGCTAACAGGAGGCGGGGGGTTAATGAAGTCTCCTCCAGTATCCCTTTAATTGACTGCAAAACCCCACTTCCAGACCACTCACTTAGCACTTGTAATTAATTGGAGCTTTCTGCTTGATCTGAGAGATGATTTGATACCCCCCGAGGACAATGTTTCCTCAGCTGGGATCCTCCGGCCTCTCTGCGGGTGCCGGGTGCCGTCCCGGGCGTGAAGCAGCCCCAGCCCTCCCTTCCTCTCCGTGAGAGCGCTGGCCCGGCGCCCCCCGCTGCGCGCACGGAGGTGGCACAGGTTCAGTGGGTGGGGCCGGAACTGGTGGCACCCTCTGCTTGAACTCCAGGCCCAGGGCACCCGTCCCATCCTGGGCCTGGCCCAGGGGTCTCTACTCTCAGCCACGTTACCTCCCTCATGTCCTTGTCGTGGGAGGCACTGGGCACGACCCTGTCTACACGAGGGTCAGGACAGCCCACCTTAAAGCTCAGGGAGGGGTGGGTACAGGGGCGAGGAGGGAGGGCAAGGGAACCTCTGCTTCCTAAGCCCCTGCTGCATGCCATCCAGAGGGCTGGCTGCCTTAAAAGCGCTGCCTCTGCTCATCTGTGAGGTCAGGGTTGTGCCCATTTCGCACATGAGAACACTGAGGCTCAGAAGCAGAGGTGCACCATGGGAATGAACATAGGATGTGGCTTTCTAACAAACTGGGCTGTGACTCCAGATTCTGTCTGGTCTTAGGCAGATGATACACCTGCTTGGAGCCTTGATTTCCTTATCTTTCTAAACAAACAAACAAACACCAGTGAGTGTGATAATGCCTAGCTCCACCACCGCCACCAGAGATGGTGAGGAAAATCAATAAAATTAGGCCTGTAGACACCCTAGCCCAGGGCCTGGCACACAGCAGCTGCTTAAAAAACGACAGCCCCCACCGTGGAATGCTGCGATTACTACGGCGAGGCTGGTGAAGACAAGTAAGGTCAGCAGAGGAAAGGCAGAAGATGTGAAGCGGATAAGGAGAGGAATTCAGTTCCATGAAAACCGCCAGGTCACCCAAACAGGACCTCAGGAAGCTCGGATTTGAAACCAGCCCCGCCTCGGGTCTTTCCGCCGCCCTGTGGGAGGCAGGGGTCCCACGTGAGAAGGCGGACAGAGGGGGCTGTCTCCCAGGAAACTCCCATCAGTGCAAAAGAGCCTCAGGAATATGTATTAGTCATGTCAGTGCCTCAGAAATTACCCCAATACTCAGCGGCTGAAACCACTAGCGCTTTATTTTCCTCCGTTTCCGAGGGTCAGGAATTCTGGAGTGGCTGGGCTGGGGGGTTCTGGCCTGGGGTGCCTCGTGAGGTTGCAGTCAAGGTGTCAGCTGGGGCCTCCATCTCATCAGAAGGCTCGTCCGGGGCTGGAGGACCCACCTCCGTGACGGCATGGTCACGTCGCTGGCACGCCTGTTCTGGCTGGTGGCAGGACACTCCCTTCCGAGGACGGCTTCTCCGGAGGGCTGGAGCGTCCCCATGGTATGGCAGCCCACCTCCCCCAGATGAGTGACCCAAGAGAGCAGGGTGGAAGCCGCAGCGCCCTTCATGACTCAGCCTCGGAAGTCACACGCCATCACTCCTGCGGTGTTCTGTTGGCCGCACAGCCCAGCGCTGAGGTGGGGGGACACTCCGGCGGGCATGCGCGCCGGCAGGGAAGCTCCCTGGGCAGTGGGGACTGTCTCGGAGGCCACCGACCCTCACCATGCGTAGCTCAGCCCACCTGCAGCTCTCTGTCCTGCCCCGGTCAGCAAACGCTCCTCCACTCGTCCGTCCACGCAGCAAACGTTTCCCCGTTCCTTTCTGTCTTCAGCGAGCCCGTCCCCAGGGGCCGCCCCGCGGTCAGCACTGGCTGAGCACTGCCCCTCAGACCCGAGCCGGGCACGCTCACAGGGGCTCGGAGTCCAGGCACGCGCACCAGCACCCCACAGAGCACCGTGAGCACACACCTGGATTTTCTCCAGACAGACCCGGTCCCAGGACAGACTTGTTACGTTGAAGCCACTTGACCCTGAGCACATTATTTTACCGCTCAGGGCCTCCATACAGAGATAATAACACCTGCACTGCCCAGTTATTGCGGCAAACGTATCCAAGTGCCCAGAGCATAGCAAATTCTTAAGAAGTGAGGGGTACCAGTATTAACGTGACTGCTCTAAGTAAACAGAGACTGCACTTGCACACCCGGACGGCAGCCGCACCCGGGCCTCCCCGCCCCTCGGGAGGAGGCTGAGCGCCCGGACCCCACGGCTGCCACTTCCCCCCGCAGGCCCAGCAGGGCCCGGCCGTGGCTCTGACAGCCCAAGGCTCCCTGGCTGCCAGCCCTAATCAGCAGCTCCAGCCGAGACCTCAAATTGATTTGCCATCATTTAGCTGGGAAGCAAGAGCTCTTCTTGACTCGCGGCCAAAATCTATTCTGTAAGAGCAAAGTAATCGCCTCCTCGGCGGGTGTCCGGAGAGGGTGATAGAGACCTGGGACAAAGAGTCTCCATCCACCACCCGGACGGCAGCCTCGCCGCGGCCCGCCCCTCGCCGGCTCCCTCCTCCCGCGCGCGTGGGCTGCTGCGTGTGTGGGCTGCTGCGTGGGTCCTCGCCAGGCGGCTGGTGCCCCGTGCCTCATGCGGTCTAATGGAGCGAGTGGCTCTCAGAAGACTTTGCAGCAAATGAAATACCTGGGAATCTTTTAAAGATTCTGATGCCTGGCTCGGGCCCCCGGACATTCTGATCCGGGTGCTTAGGGCTGCACCCTGGGTGACCGGGCTCTCACAAGCTCTCTGGGCGGTTCAGATGGGCAGCGAGTCGGGGAGCTGCTAGTCTTGGGCCCACCCGGGGCACACACCTCCGCGGGAGGTGTTCAGTCACCCGAGGACTGTTTACTGAGCACCTACAACATGCCGGTTCTAAGAGTCGGAGATCCCACAGAGAACGAGATCATTGCCTTCGAGAAGCTGACACCCGCGTCAGAGGAGGCAGACAGGAAACAAAAGAATACGTAAAATATTTAATATGTTAGATGAGAATGAGCGCCTCAGAAGTCACATGTGGCCGGAGTCGCTTTCAGATGACACCCTCGTCCTGCGTCCACCAGCTGCTAGCATCTGCCCTGTCTGCTGCTGACCAGCGTCTGACCCCCACCCCGGGCCCAGACGGGGTCTTCACCTCGGCCACACGGTGACAGCAGCTCACACCATGACCCCGCCCTGGCCACACGCTAAGCACTGGCCCCAGGCACGGTCAGGCTTCACCCGATGGCACCCTGAGTCTTGACAGTCCCTGGCCACTTGCTCAGGCCCCAAACTGCCCCACGAACCCAGCACTTTGTATGGAAAATGAAGGCTCCCGGTCCCACGGCAGACCCCAAACTCGGCCGTACTCCCCACAGCCTCCCCTGCAGAACACCCACCGCGGTTTTTCTGCGAGTGTCTAGAGGCACGAGAACACAGATGGGCGGAACAGATGGGGCC